CTGTGAGCTGGTAAGGTGAAAGCCGTCTATACACATCTATTTTACTGGCTGAGTGTTAGCGCCATCTGGACTAATAAACCAACTGTGATTTCATGGTTTTTCGGTTACACTTGGTGGATTGTTCGTCCGAAACGGGCGGGATTCAGCTTTGAATCACCGACCACATTATTTCATGAGGTCTGCTGTATACGAAGGATGCATCGTTAGACCGCTTCTGATCAAAAGCCGAACTACACTTACTGATCTCAGTCGTAGGGGCCGACTTGTTGAGCAAGTTAAGGGGTGTACGCGAATATTGAATAAGGCGTGTCCAGTGCGACTTTCTCAAGAGCATGAGGAATTGACCACAGATGGAAGTATCGGGTTGAGCATGCGAACAAGGCTTAAAATACAAGCTCTGCGAATTCCCAAAATGATTAGCTCTTTCCTATGTGCAGAGGAAAGACGAAATCGAAAATGTCGAGTGCTTCTGGGCAGGCCGTGAAGCGAGTACATGCGAAAATAATTTAGAAAATTCCTCGGTATTCGTCATGGGTTACTGAGTGCTCATTCAGTAGATCTCTTGAGTATTCAATGAGATTCCGAAGGATTCAGCAGTAGAGGAATGAGGTCAATCAAATTCTAGGTCGTAACTCAGCGGTGAATTGAACCTGAGTAAGGCTTCTTTCATAGTTTGCGGTCCGTGCGTATGGCGCGGACAGGGTGAAAAACGTCAACACGCGCTCTGGCGCACAATGCGTACTTGGCGCGCAGTCGGCGCCTCCCTCGATCGATAATCCTAATTTCGATACATTTTTTCTGTATTTTGACGTTTTGTGTGCCGTTTTGCTTTTTCTTGCGGTTGTTTAGCCCAAAACTTTTCCTTTTTGTATGGATTACTGCTTTTGCTTACTAATGAACCCACTTGGTGCTTATTGCCACTTTCAAACACAGTGTATGAACCTAACCATTCTAGGACAGTTGAAAAGCAATGATTCACACAAAAAAGAAAAAAGGTTCTCGCCAAAAAAAAAAAAGCAAAAAGCCAGTCGACGCCTTCCAGTCGATAAATTCGATTTCATCACATTCTATTTGTGTTTTCCAGGTGCTCCTTGTGCCGTGTTGCTTCTCGTGTTTTTTGGCGAGAACCTTTTTTTTTTTTTGTGTGAATCATTGCTTTTCAACTGTCCTAGAATGGTTAGGTTCATACACTGTGTTTGAAAGTGGCAATAAGCACCAAGTGGGTTCATTAGTGAAGCAAAAGCAGTAATCCATACAAAAAGGAAAAGTTTTGGGCTAAACAACCGCAAGAAAAAGCAAAACGGCACACAAAACGTCAAAATACAGAAAAAATGTATCGAAATTAGCATTATCGATCGAGGGAGGCGCCGACTGCGCGCCAAGTACGCATTGTGCGCCAGAGCGCGTGTTGACGTGTTTGCTTCGCGTGCTGTCCGCACGGGCCGCAAACCATGAAAGGAGCCTAGCCGTCGCTTCTTCCTCTTCGTGAGTTTTCGCAAGCATGCGAAAACTCACGAAGAGGAAGAAATGTAACCCGTACTAGAATATCAAGAAAACCTGTCATGAAGTGGATTATTCATGGAGTTTGTATTAATTATGAAGACCCTATGCCGGCTCATGAATTCGATTTAGCGGAAACCTGCTGCAGAGCTGTTCTTCCGGCTGCATCTCGAACCAAAGATGGCAGTTGAATCTCTTAATTTTAACGGCAGTGTATAGTTCAGTTGATCGATATTGAAACCGTAAAAGTGCACGGGGCAGCGATTTCGATGTGTCGTTAATAGTTCCTCTCCAAAAGTTTGAGATCAACTTTGAAGTATGTTGTGCCAGGGTTAGTGCTAGTAGGACAACGGCCAGTGCTAGTACGATTTGCTCAATGCTAGTAGAACTAACTGACCACATTTCCCTTGGTTCATGTGCTTTTTGAGTGGCGAGGAGAAGTTGTTCTTATCAGGGAACTCTATTTGGCCATTGTCAATCCCTTTCCCCTCTCTTAGATGTCTGTCTTTGATTGCTGTCTTGCCGTACGCAACACGGTTGAAAATTTGTTGTCCTTAACAAATGTGCTTATATGGTGTGCAAATTGATGATGCATGCCGGGGCGGTATTCAATCCTTCCCCCAGGGGTTGGGGGACGGAAATCCCTTTAAATTTATTTGTTTTGAACGATGTAGTTTCTTCATTTTCAATGCATGTTTACTTTACCTACATACATACATTAAATGTAGGCCCTTTATCAGGACAATCCCAGTTGGGAAGACAGAGAAAATTTAAAGGGATTTTCGTCCCCCAACCCCTAGGGGAAGGATTGAATGCCGCCCCCGGAGTGGTTTAATGACTGCTCCTGGTAGTAATTGTATTATAATTTTATTGTTGCAGTTTCACCATAGGCGATCCAGATGAGAGTCTTCGCATTACTTGCATATGTCTAGATAAAACTCGCTCCAGACTAATTGTTGCATATAATAACCAAATTGTAAGTTTCGTGCAAGTTATTTGTATTTGTTTACTTCCCGAATGAGTTATTTCAAGAATCGTTCTGTTCTAATTCGATGTTTGGTTTAAGATCCGAGAGTTTACGATTTCTGATGAAACTCCTACGCTGGCTCGCACCTGGAAGGCTATGCATACCGCTCCTATTCTATGCATGAAAATGAACGCTGATGGCTCTTTGTTAGCAACAGGTTCAGCAGACCATAGCGTAAAGGTGCTGACACACTTGAACTTTTTTAAATTCTAACAAAATATACAAATATCTGGAACTTTGTAATTGCAGACAGTTGGAAAGTAGAGAGAAATTGTTCACAGTTCTTACTGCATACAGTGGCGAAGCCTGATGTTCAAAGCGTTTGAAAACTGTTTAAATGCATTTTCTCCATTAAAATACATATGGGTTACAGGGTTTGCAACTTATGTTGCAATATTTTTCGCTTTTTTTGTAAATCTTGTGTTTTTGTTTAGGTATGGGATATGGTTCTACAACACTGCACCCACACACTGAAAGGTGCTGGCGTAGTTTCAGCGCTGTCTTTTATTCACAACAATCGCTTAATGGTAGGCTATCTGGAGGGACAGGTTTATATGTTCGATCTAGTCAAGGGAGCCCTACAGAAATTATTGCGTGAGTGGAGGACGCATAGCAGGTGTGACTTTTGATCCGTGCTTTGTTTTTTTGTTGATTTGATGTTATTTTTCGTCAAATATATCCAAGGTTTCCTTGGATCTGTCATGTTGTTGGGAGAAGAAAAAGGCTAGAAAATGTTACTAACAGATCTTCTCGCTTTTTCGGAGCAAAAGCAGCTTTAGAACAAGGAAATTCGGAATGAAATTTTCTGTGTGTCATCACATATAGGGCAGTGGGACGCGGTGGCGCGTCTCGCTCGGATTTATCCCGAGTTGTTTATACTTATTCTGTAGATCGTACGTTAACCTAGCACTACGCCGTGGTCCACAAAATGGTTAGATATCTTGCACACAGCTGCTAACCTGTGCTTCGGGAGTTGATGGCAGAGCATGTCGGCAGCGATGCGCGCAGCTTTAATGTGCCCTTTTTTCCTGAACTGACCATATTCCCCTTGAATTATGTCCGCTCATTTTGCGTTGGTGTTGTCATTATCTCGTTTAAAGGACGCAGACAGGCAGGCTGTGTGCTGCATCGCCGACTGCCCCTCTCAACTGAAATCGTACTGCTGTTTCGCTGCTTCCAGTGTTGAGGTCTGAAAAGCGCATATATTACATTTGGACAGCGAGACGCGGTTGCACGTCTCAAAGATCACCCTCACTAAACTGCCCGTCCCACATGGCCTGAAAACCGAAACGCGCGTTGTCGTCAATGTGTTAGTGAATGACATAACCACCTTAATTTCAGCTGCATAACGGGTTTTTTGGAGGTGCCCGGATCACGGCGTGTCGTTATTATATCGAAGGATCAGACCGCTTCAATTGTGGAATCAGAAACAAGAGAAGTTCTAAAAGTGAACATATAGCAGTTTTTCTCGACTTTCCACCTGCGGACTTTCATTGGACGTTGTGGTTTCACCAATTGTTGTTCAGGTTTTGCCTTTGTTTGAAGCAATCGAGTCTGCTGTACTAGTACATGGTAACATGGTCACAGTTGGAGAAGAGGGCACACTGAAAGAATGGTCCATTGAATCTGCTCGACTTCTACGGTCAAAGAAGATTTCTGGGTTAGTTCAGAATACTATTGTGTCCATAACAAATTAGAACGCCGGCTATCTTCCCCCGTCGTGTTTTTTTTTTCATTATGAACGCACACTGCACTGCCCAGACATATATTCAAAATATATTGAAAAGAACTGCACAGGGCGCGTCTGGAGTCAGTAGCATACAATCCGATTTGCGATCAACTTCTGATAACATCTGCTGAAGAGAATATTTTTCTGGTTTCATTCGATAAATTCTCATTGAATCGACAAATTGTTGGATTTCACGACGAAGTAGGTCACTTCCTTTCTGTGTATTCTACAATTTTCAATATTCCAATTTTGCTTACTTTGCCAGATTTATTCTTGCTCATTCGTTGGAAAAGATGAGTCGCACTTAGCCGTTGCGTCGAATACAAAAGAAATACGATTATACAATACTGCTACGTGGGACTGTCAGTTGATTGAAGGTGAGCATATAATCTATTAATCGTTCACATGTGGCTTGTTGTAGTTGGGCTTTCTAATTTGTGTTTTGTTGTAATTTCTTAATTAGTCGTTTGCGAAAAAAAAATTTTGGGGCCTCGAAGCGGCTTGAGCATCATTGAGCTGGGTCGATCGGTGGTCGTATTTGGGTCATGTAGAGGAGGTAGGATTTCATGTTGAAATCAGCATCATGTTTCCGGGAATGACGGAAGTGATTTTTAAAAAATTCGAAAAAATTCATGGACGTCTTGGAGCTTTTACCGTTCGCACTATTGCGTGTCATTCTTTTTCGATGGGTAAAGGTAGAAATTAGGTCACGGGCGATTGGTGGTAGAATCACGATAAGCGAAGAAAGAAGGAGAAAATCGTACCAAGTTTTTTTTTCAAAGCAACTCCGTTTGGTGGGACACACACTTTTTGGTTTCCTTTTTTTGCGCTTAGACGGTCCACAGAAATCGCCCAACCGATCAGTGTCTTAGGAGCTGATAATTAAGGAGCCTTTCATTTGTTTTTGAGCATGGCGGGTCGCGTGCTAAACCATGTGCAGCATGTCGCCACACAGAAAACAATTGTCATATTTTATTTACTTAGTATTTTTTGAGTTATAAGATCATAGGTAATCGTTTTTGGCCGCGGAATTACCTTAATTTGTGCCCTGGTAAAGGTATTGATAGATTACTAGACACTAATAAAACAGGCCACGAAAATCTACGGAGTGCTCACATTGCGGCGGTATGTGATGGGTTAGCATTATTTGGACTTCATTTTGAACAGGTAAATCAAAACGGCCATTTCAGGTCATAGCGAAAGTGTGCTGTGTGTTGCAACGGCTCCTTTCAATCGCCGTATTTTAGCATCCTGTAGCAAAGATAACTCGATCATCATATGGAAACTCTTCTGTGAGTTGGTTCTATTAGGAGTTACGTAGCTATAGAATAATGCTAAATATACCTTCCATATACCTTGTTGAGCACATCGGGCGACAAATTCCAAAATAAATAAAAAATATCCGAAAAGTGTAAGGGAACAGTAGGATGTGAATCAGTGGGAGTGGTTCATTAGGACAGAAAGCGACTTTTTCGCGTTTCGCAGCGCGAAATTCTGCTGCGGGAACCTCAGGTCCACCGCTGATCATCAGTGGACCCGAGGTTCCCGCAGGGTCCACTAATAATCAGCGGTGGACCCGAGGTTCCCGCAGCGAATCATCAGTGGACCCGAGATTCCCGCAACGAACAATGTTTCGCGCTGCGAAACGCGAGAAAGTCGCTGTCTGTCCTAGTCAACCACACCCTGAATCAGTCACGAGGAAATTTGCCCTAGCGTTGCGATTGTAGCGTGTAGTACAAATCTAGTGTGGTCTACCGGTGAATCCCGCAATATCCCATAGAGAGGTGAGGGCTTCTCAAGAATTTCATTTTTCGTTAGTACGCATAACTTCCTTCATAAACGATGTTTTGCAAAACGGTAAGCAGATTTAGACATCATTTGGCTTGGTTTCCCAAAAACCATTAAAGCTTTTCCGTTAATTCAGAATTGTTATTATTGTATAGTTAGTCGTGAATATGCAAGCTTTATCTTCAAAGTTCTCCACATCTTTTGTGAAAGATGTTTTTTCGCAATACGGTGAGCGGAGTGATTTGTGAAGATCTGGATATCTAAAAAGCATGGCTTTATCGAAAGGGCGCCATTCTGAAAACATATAGCTCGCCAAAAATTTTGCTCAGGAACTCCAAGATGCTTATAAGAGACTTTTTCAATTGTAGTATAGTAATATTCATAATGATTAAATTTGAGTGCTTAGCACTGTCTAATTGCGTTGTGTGTGCAGTATATATTCGACTTTCGTTCAGGATTGTAGTGGAATTTGCAGTTTCGTATGGAAGTGCCCATGTCCACTTTTCGTGTAAAAATTGTAGTAACTGTTGCTGTACATTTTTCATTTATTCTACATTGAATCCTCATGTCATATTATCTGTTCTCCTTTCGACTGCCTCGCTATAAATAACTTTGTGGTAACTCATATCGAGCCTCAAACTTGAGTCGTGTGGAGAGGCTAATTTACACAAGTCACCAAATTCTCTACACCAACGTGACTGGAAACTTTCTATGTGACTTTATGGGTCACTAGATCGCTCTACTATCTACAAATATTCTCGTTAAGGTTCTTCGGACGGCAAAACATATCAACTGAAAGCGATGGCTCGGGCGACTGGGCACACAAATTCTGTGAATGCGATATGTTTCTCTCACTCTGGCAAACGACCATTCCTTGTGTCGGTGTCGACGGACACAACAATCAAATTGTGGTCGCTAACTGAACTCGATCAAGACGCCAACGATGAAATCAGTCTGGAAAATGTGTGAGATGGTTTCCATTGGTATATCATTTCCATCGATATTTGGTTTTTATTAAATCTCTTTCAGTGGCAAGTTGAGCTGTTCTTCTACTCTCGTCGCACATGGCAAGGACGTAAATTGTGTTGATGTTTCCCTCACAGATTCTGTTTGTATAAGTGGAGGGTGTGTTTACTTGAGAATTTTGCTGTTACAAGTTTGAAGTGACGTAATTTCTAGAATGGATAAGTTGGTGAAGTTGTGGCATGTTGATCCAGCTAAAATGCGGCTTGGCATTGCGGGTACTTTGACGGGACATCGAAGAGGTGTCGCGGATGCGAGGTTCTCACCTAGTTCGCTGGTAATTGATTTTTCTTTCTAGATAGCAGGACGCTTAGCTTTTTTTTTCGCATGAAAAATTTATTGACGTAATGTTCACCACTGCTGGACGTGATCTCCCAGGAATGTGCGATATACTGCATTTTTCTCATATTTTTGTAAGTTATGTAATTAAATAAAATTCTAGAAGGCTGCTTCATCCAGTGGAGACCTAACAATCAAGATTTGGTCTCTCGAGGACAAAACTTGCTTGCAGACACTGAATGGGCACAACTCAGCAGTTTTTAGGGTTTGTAATGATGGAGTTCGATCTGAAAGCAAAGACTAATCCGAGCTTTCAAAATCACATGGTTTATATTACAGATCCTATTCGTTAACCATGGTACCCAGCTAGTGTCAGCAGACAGCGCTGGCATCGTCAAAATTTGGACGATGGCTACTTCTGAGGCTGAAACATCCATTGAAGCACATAGTGATAAGGTATTTTTGATTCGGAATTCCACCGTGTAATAATGCTGCCTAATCACATGCCTTTCATAACAAGGACCTTCTTAAATCTAGAGGTTTTGACGGTTTTCACAAAAAGCCTGAAGTCGTTTGGTTGTTTGCGATTTTCCAATTTTAGGCACTGTTTACCGCTTCATTCCTGGTCTTCGAAGACCGAGCCTGATTTGTCTCGGAATTTTGCCTAGATGTAGATTTTGGATGAAGTTTGTTCGTAGGATGTGCCAGCTATTCCGGATAAGTGTCACTCGACACTTGAATTTTTCGTATCTTAGGGAATCGGAATGACTGATCGGAAATTCTGACACCTGCCTCAGAGGCAGCGATCGCGATAGTTTCCAGTGTTGATGAAGGAGAACGATGCTCAATGAAGAGGTCAGAGATCAAGGAACGATGGGTGGCGCTAAAAATGTAGAGGCGCGTCGTAAGGTTGAACTAATGGTAATGTGCGACGTAACAGTTGCACAATCGACGAGTCATACAACTCTGAAGGCCCCAACCTCGTGCTCCTCCATTAGAAAGGATGGTAGCAGCGTGTTCAATTTCAGTCCATATCTCGCCGCTGAGTAAGCTGCTTACGGATTCGATGTGGCGACCACTGCACTTGATAGAGATTGCGTGGAGCTGTTTCCAGCATGTTTTGCTATTTTCCAGGTTTTTGAGATTTTTGCTGGGATCTCTTGTTTTTTGTCTACACATAATCAGTATCTCCCCTTTCATATTTCATCAGCATCATCTTATCGCGACTGATTCCTTGAGAACAATCGCGATAGATGCGGTATGCGGTGTGTTATTTAAAGGAATCTTCCACGGACCATGGACCAGTGGGCGGGACCGGAAGTTTTTGCGACGAAATGCATGGTAGGTACGGATCCACGTTCATGGGAAGGTTTGAAGTGAATCCTGTTCACGTTCGTGCGTTCGACACGTGGATCCGTACCTACCATGCATTTCGTCACAAAAACTTCCGGTCCCGCCCACTGGTCCATGGTCCGTGGAAGATTCCTTTAAAGGCAAGCTTCAGGACAAAGTAGGTGCGGAAAAGTGTCCACTAATGACTAAAAGTGGGGAGTGGTCTGGGAAAGAGGAAGAAAGCAAGGGAAACCCTTGATTACGTACTGAATAAGATCGTCTCTATTCCAGCCGCATTCTCGTACTTCCAACTCGGGATAAAGAAGGAGCGTGTTGGACGAATTTCACGAATGACTCTCCAGTTGCTCCAGTGCCAATGACATTGAACCGCAATGGAACCGCTGCCGCAACTGCGCCCGCGCTTTTCAAGCAGCGTCACGTGGCAACCGACAGCGGAAGGGTGGGGCTTGCGGACGAAGGAGTGGATTGCAGGTCGAGCGAGCTCCTGGCGCCTTTCAAGCTGGGGAAGGGGCGGGACATGGAGCTTCTCCGCCTGCCTCCTACCTTCAAGTATGGAACAAACGACCGTGCCCAATCCCGGAGTGTGCCTTTTAACACGTTGACGACGAGCGATTTTTTCCTTGTCGCGCGCATGGGACGAGGCGTTTTTTGCATGCAAAGCGCCGGTAACACAGGGCAAAACTTATTTTGTAGCTCTGTAAAATCTCGAAATGCACAAAATGCCTTTGACTAGAGTACTCCAGACACGTTTAGAAACAAGGAAAAGTTGTTACTACTGAATGCTGGGTGAAATTTCAGTGACATCGCCTGGCATTTTCAAACCTCATGGTTAGAATAGGTTCTGAAGGCGCAATTTCACGCATTCTTCATTTTTATTATTAATATGAGCTTTCCTTTAGATGGTACTGGTATCCTGATCACATCTGAAATCTTCTACGAATTTTTCACTCAAGAATGACGCAAAAAACTTTGCGTACCTGACGGAATGAGCTTTTGTTTGACTGTTATCTTGTTCTTCATGATCGAATAAGAGATTTAAACGAGTCATTTCAAGGTCAAAAAATTGTTTGTGAAATATTTGGCAGTTGATGGACTGGATAGGTACTTTTGTCCTGCCTATGAGTAAGACTGAGCCTACTTGACCATCATGGGAACCTAAGGCTAGAAATGGACATTCTACTGACGGTGACCTAATTAGTAAAGGTCGATATGAACAATTTTAGTGAGATTTCCAGTTTGCTGACGGTGGGAACTTTGTGGTTGTGATTCAATTGACAGCGCGTTTCTGCCACTGATAACTAATTCAGAATAAAACTCCCAGGAATTAGAAAGATCATAATTCGCAGACAAGTGTAGTAAGTTAGGACACTGAAGTAAACGTTGAAATAGAAAAGTCGCGGGTTCCATCTAAGTTTGCTTACTTTCAAGCTGTCGGTCACCATTGACCGACATCGTCGCCAACGTTTAAAGGAGGAATTCACGATTAGAATGAAGGTCGAAGAAAGGGAAACTGACCTAGTTGAGGGACCCACGGACCTCCTGAGGGTGCGAACTGACGCGCAATTCGCATGGAAAAATTTGACCTCGGCGACCTATCATGCCTGGCGGGTCCGGCGATCTCCGCCCACCGATCATCTGATCACTCGCCGTAGTTCAATACGTGGCGAGTGATTAGATAGCTGAGAGAGCGTAGTGTTGAAGAGGGCACAGCGATGAGAGTCGCATCAATGCTCAAATCAACGGGCAAGGAAGGGGTCCCATTTCTCGGGTTCTGGGCCGTTTCTCATGGTTCTTCCTTCTTTCGTGTACCACTCACCATCCCTAGGTTAATTTGAAATGGGTTGCTTTTTCATCGTGAATTCGTCCTTTAATATAATGGCCAAAATAAGTCATTTTGCCAAGGGATACTTTCCAAAAGGGACAGTGAGACGAGGTAGATATTATTTTTGCAACCAAATGACATTCTCAAATCAGAAGTAAGCTCTCGCTATTCTCCTCCTTATTTAGTATATAGGTGCGCCCGAATTACGAAACTTAGAAGAAAAATAAACGTCAGATCTGACGAATAATTTATGAGTTCCACTCAAGGTTGTGAACAGCATACTTGCTACTGTCTTCATTTCATCGCTGGATCATTTGAAATCAGCCCATGGGTTTTTGGGGTTCCCAGCGGCCTTTGTTGGCTTCGGGTCCCCGAACATGCGAGACACATCAGTCGAGGGGATTTGTTTAAGGGCGATATTCTTGTGTTGCGTACCTTGCGAACTAAACGATCGCATTGCTGCAAATGTTGTCGGGTGCGGTGCGTGCTCCGCCCACTAATAGCAGTTGACCTCCTTTCCCTCGCCAACCTCTACCCCGTTTTCCCATCTCTAGGACTTCTTGGAGCCGAGTTATGAATTTTCGTCGCAAACTCCGCCCACTTTGGTCAAGTCCCGCCCACCATGACAGCTGGCCTCCACTCCTCCACCCACCTCCATCCACCTTTTTCCCGGCCTCCGGGACTTCTTGGAGCCGAGTTATGAATTTTCGTCGCAAACTCCGCCCACTTTGGTCAAGCCCCGCCCACCGATGACAGCTGGCCTCCACTCCTCCACCCACCTCCATCCACCTTTTTCCCGCCTCCGGGACTTCTTGGAGCCGAGTTATGAATTTTCGTCGCAAACTCCGCCCACTTTGGTCAAGCCCCGCCCACCGATGACAGCTGGCCTCCACTCCTCCACCCACCTCTATCCACCTTTTTCCGGCTCTTTAAGACTTCCCCGGCCCGAATTATGAGGACTTGTAGAAAATGCTGTACACTTCAGAGCGCGCCCCGCCCATTCTGGGCGGGCCTCCGCCCACGTCATGTATGCAGGAAACACCTTAGACATTGCTCCCTTACACCAATTGTTTTCTGCTCTGTAGGCTTTCTCCCAACCGAGTTATGAAATTTTTCATAAAGCACTGCTTTTTTAGAGAACGCCCCGCCCACCGGGGGTGGGTCTCCCTAATTCGATGTGACTTACCAATGCACACCTTTACCCACTTTTTGGCCCAGTTTCGAGGTCGTTTTGTCACTGAAATTGAAATCTTGGTCTTCAGTACAGTTCATTTCGACGCACGCCACGCCCACTGTGGGCGGGGCTCCGCTTAGCTGATGTGTGTTTTGTACTTCGTGAGACCTTGCCCACCCATCCCACACTTGACCCGGTCCCTCCAGGCGGATCCCGAGGAGCTAGGGAATTTCGTGACAGACATACAGACGACAGACGACAGACGACAGACGAAGCGCTTTATAGTAGTAAGTATTATAACGCGAGGGTAGCAAATCCAGCGTGGAAGCCAGCGTGATCGCTTCCTTTAAGCATGCCTAAGCATAAAAGTGGCTATCATTCTGAAAAGCTCTCCATTGATATGTTTAATTGGGGCCGTTTTCAGTGCTGCTTCCAACATTCTGGAATCATCCCAACAAACACCATCCTTTCATTGATATTTCATAAGTAAAAAAGTAAATGGCACTCAAAATGAAATTTCTTCAACAATGAACAGCAGAGCAGAACGAAAGAGGCGGACATGTCCACGGCAGGTGGCACTGGCCGGATTGGCGTTGGGACGGACTGATGAGCGCGCCCTTCGCTGCGGTGTTTCTACCCACTTCCTTGAAGGGGGGGGGGGGGGGAGAGGTGGCGTAATCTATCTGCGTCATGCTTACTTCCACTTCCAATATTTCGTTTATCGTAACATCATCCTCGAACACGCCTCATTCCAAGGATACTCCCTCCCACGGCAATGGTTCTCCTCCACCGTCCCTGAGAAGAGGCATCCATTGAATAATCAGTTGAAATGCAACTGCTGATCCGCTGCACACATCGATTTTTCCCTGTGTGCTGTTCTGGAGCCCAGTTAAAAATTCGATCTCCGACGTTTCTCTTTTCACGCCGCACCAGGGTCAACTGTAGAGAGTGGCCGGTTTCAACCTCCATGATGATGATCACGACCTCCATGTATGACCTGATTCATCGTGCGCCCTAACTATCGAGGGGGGTTAGCTTGCCTTATGGGTGCATCATAGTCAATCCCAATCGGAAATACGGTCTCTTCGATGCTGCCCATCAGTAATTAGATCATTGAATTTGCTCAGCTACTCTAAGCTGAAGCAATTGCGTAATTCTTTTTCGAGATCGTCGATAAATTCAGATGGGTTTATATTCCAGTGACGACGTGGACAACAGGAGAAGACGGGTGTGCTCTTTTATGTTAATTCCAAGGTATTTTGCTGAAGGAGATCCATCTAGTTCGTTACTTTTCCGCCTTGGGTGTCGTAAATCACTGATCTGCGACGATTTGAGTCACAGATCGAAAACTGGAGATCCTTCGTGAACAATGCGCATTGATTTTGAAAAAAAAAACATTGTTTTGGCTTGATTTTTCTATGATCGTTTTCCAGAAGTGGTACTTATGATGTTCTTTTTTAGATCTGGACTTTACTGGTGAATAGTGATGAAAGCGAATATGTTACTGCTGGTAGTGATGGAAGAATTGTCGTTTGGAAGGACGTTTCTGATGAACGTCGAAGGGAGGAAGAAGCTAAAGTCAGAAAACAATTGGAAGAAGAACAGGTGTGGTAATTAATATGGATAAATTTGTATATCCACATCAAATTTATGATCACGTTTCTGTGTATGTTAGCCCTCACAATTTTCACATCGCCCGTTCCACATAATCTTGAGATAACAGCGAACTGTATAGTTGGAGAAGTGGAAAATGCAGCAGCATTGACCAATACTATAACATTTTCTCTACCAATGCGGCTTGGAATGACAAGCACATTTCTGGGAGATGCGGTTTATCTAGAAAAAATAGGAAACTTCATATTTTGGGGGTTCCAGTGCCGTTTTCTTTTAGAACTTCCACGGTATTATTTGAATTTTTCATACTTTTTATATAAGTCCTTGCTTGCAGTTTTGTGTGTGAATTTATAACTACTAAATTTGTTTTGATGGGAACTAATGATGTGTGCATTAGTTTTGCAGCGAGTACTAACGGAAGGGTTATACTAGTCCTTTCTGATATGGGGTGAGCTTATAGAACTTTTAATCATTTTAGTTTTGACAGGTACACCGTCGTGCACGCCCCGCCCACCGTGACCATGACTTGTCCGTCTCTCCGTCCGGTTTGGTGTGCGCTTTGCTCATTGATGGCAAGCGACCATGCTCACTATGTTAGACTCTATCCAGTCTTCTTCCAGTTTCTGAAATTTCTTCGAAACGAATCATGAAATTTCGTGCTAGAAAGGGGTCCCTAGTCACACCTTTTTCACCAGTTTTTCAATCAAAGTCTATTTGTAAGGGTTACTGACGGTCCTAATCATGAATATGGTACTAATTATTCATGCTAACTCCATTTTGCGCGAATTTTGAAACGTCAACTCGAAATGCAAAAATTTGTCACCACGAGGAATCGAACTAGGGACCCCTTTTCTGGTATTCAGAGGCCGTTCAGGAAAAATGAACCATTCTGTGGTCCCCATATGTGCCCCAATGTCATGCAAGAAACCATTTTGAAAAAGCTTGGCACACCCTGAACGACCTCCCTTGTTAGCACATTGGGTTGTCCCATAATTTCTGGCCGATTTTGGTTCAAATTCAATTTTCTTCATGTCAAATTAGCTTCATATCGAAATAAGTTGATATGTTGAAGAACACATCAGGACCTTCAGCCAGGATGTTTCAGAAGCTCAAATGCGCAACGGGATAATTAAGTAGGAATCAAAATAGATCAACGACCAAACCCAACGATTATGCCTTACGACAATTTTAAGAAGAACCTTGCAAGGAGCGCGGTAGGCAAGATCAGCGCTACGTTTGCCCCAGTCTTTGCTACTGATCGGGCACTGAGCTATTGGCTCAATAGCATCGGCAAAGCGATAGGAGCTGCAAAGTTCGACCTCATCATGGACCTCCAGTCACTTTCGATGAGGACCCTTGCGCAACGAATAGGAAGTGCATCCGGACGCTATTAGCAGGAAACTGTAGCAAACATCTGGACGCAGCCTACGCTCCATGAGTCGACACCTGAATGGAATGGCTGTAGCAGAATGAAGTCTCGATGGAAACAGCATGCATCGACTGACCATGACCGAGAAGCACGCCTGACCATCTGCAGAAGTTTCATTCTGACCGTATAGACAAGACATTCATTCCCTAGTTGGTCACCAGTGCAGATGAGTCATGAGTCCACCACGATAACAACACGCGGCACGCCTGGTGGCTACCTCGCAGCCTGGACCCACCATCTCAACCAAAGCCCGAGCTCTTTCATCAGAGGATATTACCCCCGGTTCGTTGGATTCGCTGGGTATCCCGTTTGAGAGCCATTTCACTCTTATGCGAGCGTTGCGAATGTAACTGAAATAGTTCACGATGTTGATCGCAGCAGTGCGGAGGAACGCTTCCAAATGTCCCAAAACTCCTACCTCTGAAGGACCGCCCGAAATCACATTGCAAAGATAACGTGTTTCGAAGGAAACTGGCTGGACCACGACACCACATCTATCGTATAGCCCTTACATTGCTCCATCGTACTATCACCTCCTCAGCTCCCTGAAGCAGCAGCTAGGAGAGAAAAAAGTCAGTAAATACAACCACCCCTCTCCGAGCTTTTCATCTCACAGCTTCTCGTTCTGGAGGAATGCATCCATTCGTTCCCTAGCAAATGGATGCATATCAGTGATTATGATGGTGGTTATATTTTTGATCAATTGTTTTTTTTTAGGAAAGAAAAACTTGAAGAAATCAAAGTGTTGAATTTCGGCAAGAAATTATGGGACAATCCAATATGTAGCAGGCATATTTTTTAGCCCGCGTCCATTGTATTTGGGCTCCGTTCATCTCAGGCACGCATGCGAACCTTACGCAGTGCTTATTTCAGTTTTTTCTATTATCTACTTGTCCTAGGACGCAGATATGAGTTACCAGTTTCTCTGCACACTGACGCGTGCGCGCTGTTGCGTTTTAACGATATTGAAGATGACGGTTGGAACGTTTCGCGTAACTCCCGCCCACCATGTACATATTCGGCATACAGTGGATTTATATGACTCATTGCTGATATCTATTCGCTTTTCTCCTACGTTACTTTTTTCAACCTTTTCGAGGGCTTCGAATTTTGCCCACCTCCCTCGGTGCACGCCCCACCCATCAAGCACTTGATCTCTCTTTCCTTGTTAGCCTTTATCCACTTTTTTCCCGGCTTTCAGGCAGTCGGAAACGAGTAACAGGTTTCTTTGCAAACTCCGCCCACTCTGATGCACGCCCCGCTCACAATTAACACTAAACTTACTCTCCTTTCTAAGTTCTGTCCACTTTTACCCATTTCTGGGACTTCGACCGAATTGTGAGATTCAGAACGTGCTTTATCCACTGTGAGTGAGCTTCCGCCGTGTTTAGGCGTGGTGATACTAGATATTGCTCTCCTCCACCGCTTTTCTTCTGCTCTGGCTTGCTCTTCACCGAGTTCCAATTTTTATAAGCACCGTCCATTAAGAAACGCTTACTCACCGCGGGAGGATCTCCCTAATCTGATTTAGCAACTCATTGCAAGCCAACTGATATGGGTTTTCTTTTTCTTGACCTACGCCCCTACCCCAAATTTGACCTTCCAGCTGCTATATAGAACACCTATTGATCATATTCTTGGTCATTCCACAATATTTGATTAGCTTTGCAAGCTAAGCCAAAGGTAAGGGGATTGGTATGAGAAATGCATCATTGTGGAGGTGCTAATCTACCGTGAGGTTATAATCTGGATAACGAAGTCCTCTGCTATGCAAATCACCTATTTCGAATGAAAGTCTGGAATGCGTTTGCGTGCGCAGAAAAAGGGTGGTACTGGTGGTTTGTGGTAAGAAAACTATTGTGCAAATATACTAGAGATATCTCGATGATGTCATTTCTAGTTCTGAAAGTAGGAATTTTATGGAAGTCGATTGCTCTTAACTCGCAGTTCAAATGCCCCAACCTTCGAAGCACTTACGCGTAGAATTTGCGGGCCATGCTTTAATTTTTTGGACCTTTGATGCATTCCAGTTCTGACCGTTTATGATATGATTTTAGAAGAAAAAAATCCCCAGCGAACAATTACAAAGGTCTTGGTGGTTTGATGATGAAAGCTTATTCTACGAATCATGAGCGGTATTTTGCAGACCCTCAGCAATCTTCTAGAGGAGGACCGATTACAAGAAGCACTGGAATTCGCTCTTGGATTGGTTCGGCCTTTTTGTGCTTTGAAGGTTTGTAGTAGATACATATTTTTTCCTCGGTTGTACCTTGCTTTGAACTGAGATTTCGGCTGTTCATTTATCCACATTTCAGGTTATTGATAAACTGAGCGATCGTGATGAACTTATGCTGTCTCTGACGAAACTGGATAAGCAAAAAGTTCAAATTTTGCTTGGTTTTGTCACACAATGGAATACAAACAGTCGAACATCCCTGGTATGTTCGCTGTAAATTTTGACCGTAACTTTGTGCAGCGAGCATACGTCGTAGTTTCGGATATAAGCCCGTATATTTATGCTTTTCGATTCTAAGGCATATAATTGTCATTATAGACAGATTGTGTAAAGGATTCACAGCGAATAGGACTCAAAAGTAAATAGCCTCCTCGTGTTGCAAAGTCACAGTTAACGTAGAGCTTCACTCAGGGCTTTAATATCATTTTCTATTTCGACGCTTCGTTCCGAAATTCCTAGATGTCATTAGAATAACAGGTTTTACGGAAAATTAAGAAGTGCATTCAGCGTATTAGGGTACAATCGAGTTTGTCAGTGTTTCAGGTGATTTCCCTCAAATTCTTTTTTTCTTAGAATGCCACTTTGCATGGTGATTCAATGCGCTCAGCGTTGTTAATTGTTAGAGGAGTGGGCAGAAGCATACGTCAAGCACTGTGACATCACAACGAGCTAGGGCATCTTTTCCGCGAAGAGGGGATCTCTAGTGAATCGAAACTCATATCGAGTAGTTGTTCAGCAATCTACGACTTCTTCGCCATTGAATCCTAAATTGCTGACAGAAGAGAAAATAGAATAGCATACGTAGTTTCTCAATAGTAGTTCCCTTATGCGTGGCCACGGATTCCTAGAATCTCCGATCCCGTAAGTTCCAATATTCCATTTCCAAAAATTTGTATTCAGGCTAGCCAGAATGTGTTAAACTGCCTGCTGAAGATAATGCCACCCGAAGAATTGCTGGAACTGCCCAACATTAGATCTACCATTGAGTCGTTGATTCCTTATACTAGAAGGTGAATGATGTTTTTTATTCCATTACATTGATAATTTAGCTTTTTGATTCTCTTTGTCCTTGACCTGTTTTCGTAAAATTTGTGATGGTTTACTCAAGGCAACAATCCCTAGAAAGGTCGTGTCGAGCAATCCCCACTGTGCGGACAGTGTGGATTGCTCGACAACCCGCGAGCACCTCTGCTGTGCCGTTGTCGCGGTTCGAAAGTGCGCGTTAGTGACGCTAAGCTTTACAAAGTGAGCTGGTGACGGCTTAATGTGAGCTAATCAACGAGATACTTCGCGCACACCCCATGACACGCAACGAAGATTACATCGCGGCTTGTTCTAATAACGAAAGCGTGGGTCAGTGGAGCCATGGAACAAGCAAGTTCAAATAACTCGTCCGACACGCACTTCCTTCATTTCGAGAGAAACAGGGAGTCCCCGTCCAAGGTCTTAATCGGAGGTTTGCTTTCATTCTCTTTTTTAGTCAACTCTGTTACAATCTCATTATGTCGACCAATGTTTACCATAGGAAAGATCTTGAGTCGGGGTGCAATCCTTCCCTTGGGAGTCCGCGTCTTCTCGCCCATATTCAATGCGAGGGTAGCGCAGAGATAGGGTTCAGGAAACCCGCCAAAGCTCTGCGTTCTACAAATGTCAAAAACTAAAGCAACGCGACTTCTCAGAGAAAAGAGTGCTTCAACAGGGGAGGATAGCTACAACATCAAACATTCAGTGGCAGTTCCCATGACACATCCCTGTTTTCCCAAGAATTGGTGGCGAGGGACGCGTCTTCGCAGAAGATTGGTACGGTCCCTGGGGTTGCTGCTTCCAGTGCCCGCGTGGTGTTGGAATGTGTGGTCACAAATCACCTACTTTGGTTGCTTGGTGGTCCTCCATCCTAGTCAAGCTTGCGGAGCTTTACGTCGAATACCGACTAAAGTTGAAGCTTACTGAAGTTGTTACGAAATATCACGTTTATTCTTTTTCTTCAGGCACATGGAGCGTTTGAATAGAGCAAGACAAGAAGTGTCACTGTTACGTTTCACATGGAATCAAATGCGTTTAAATTGATCACCATTTCTAACATTTCTAATTGATTTGTCCGTAGTCTGACTACTAATTTTCGTTACTATGATTGATTGTTAATCATGAATTGTTTTTGTTGTTGTTGACCTTCTATCAATAAATCCATAAGAATAAATTTTGGCTAATTATTGCTTGTACTCAGAAAAGTGCTTGTTTATCAAACAATTCATCTATCTTCGGACATTTTTGGCGCACTTCACTGAAGATGGATTTAAATTATAATGGTGTGACATAAGTTTTCAGCACAATGACGGACGATTTGCCGATGGAGAGCATCGATGACATGCCGGATTTGATCGATGTCGATCTCCCGGCTCAGCTGCCTTCATTAATTGAGCAGAACACGATCGAGCCGGCGAAGCAAGTGGACGAGTTTCGAGTAGTAAGTCGTTTTTGGGAAGCATTTGGTTAGGATCTACTTTGCATCGCCTTCGTCGAGGTACTGCACATTTCTGGGCGATCCCTGCTTTTGAACGAATCAACGAAAATGTGTCCGAAGCTATAAAATGGACGCGCGTTGTCTGCGTTCTCTTCAAACGTCGTTCGTCGCAACGAAAGGCTGCTGTTTTTTGGACGGCTATCAAACGTACGGGTGGTCCATTTTTTGCCCTTCTAATGGCCCGACGTTGCGTTTATGGCGAATTTTTTCACGCGATATGTGGTCATTTGGCGTAAGGTGGACTGCTGCGTTTAGCCAGTAAATGTAGGACATTTTGCATATAGAGATGTGACTGACGAGTTTGTGAACACTGGTGTTACTGCCAAAAAATTTTGATGAATCGGTTTGTGTGCGAAATGGTAAGGCCGAACTTGTTAATGTTCTAGCATCGGTGATGTAAAACATTACTTTCTAGATTTGCTAGCAATTCTCCCGAATTTTTCCTGGACTAAATAGATTTTCCAGTGTTCTTGTGTAGCTTAGTCATAGCGACAAGGTCGGATGAAGGACCTGTTTCGAAAGAGAATTTACATTGTTTCCTTCAGTACTCCCGTTTTCTGTCTTGTGATGGATGGCTAAATAATATAAAGAACCAGACCTGGACATTCGCTTTTTGGAATAGAAAATAGAGTGGTCCATGATTTTTTCCCAACAACAACCAAGATTAAAGGAATAATATTTCGGCGTTGACAAATCTCTTCTTGGGAGGTTTCACGCATTTTGCCTTCATTTAGTATCCTTAGACCGACGTCATAGTCGGCGACGGACCAATCGCGATCGCTCCATCGCTTGTCCGTCGCTTGCCAATCGCTCTTGGTCGAGCGATTGGCAAGCGATTGCGCAATCGCTTGCAAAGTGCACAAGCGACGGGCAATGGCTCTGCTCGATCGATACCGCAGCCGACTGCATTGACTGGGGGCGGGGCCAATCGCCCGTCGCTTGTGCACATTGCGCAAATCGCTTGCCAATCGCTCGACCGAGAGCGATTGGCAAGCGACGGACAAGCGATGGAGCGATCGCGATCGCTCCATCGCTTGGTCCGTCGCCGACTATGACGTCGGTCTAATGGCTTTTGAATGCGGTGTTGCTTATACGATGACCTGCGGGGGCCAGCCGATGTACAATTCGGCCTTTTTATTCTACCGTACGAGTCTAATAATAGTTGGTTTACCACGTAGGGATGGAACCTTATGGTTAGTTTGCCTTGCGAGTTTCGATTTGAGGTTTGACCTCCGATCCGTGTGTGGGGGAATAGGCTTCACTCCCCACAACATCACCTCCGCCTAGTTATCATTAGAGATTCACAATCGGAGAAACTTCAATTTGGCCTCTGAGGTTATTCATACTTCTATTCGAGAAACGATGACAAGACCACATCCACAATTTTTCAATGAAACCGTCTTTCCGAAACAAATTTTTGCCACATGTGTAAACTTTCTGATCTGGTCCAAGTGCCAGTCCATCATCGAATCGAAGAAATTTTTTAAGCGGTTTTGTTTAAAAAAACATTAACTGAACCGAGTATCAGTTAGGATGTAAGCAAGAAGTGACAAAACTTACTGCTTTCCAGTCTTCTCCCTGATCTTCTGTGCGGTGTGAGGTCTTCCGTTATCTTGTTGGGAAGTCACTGGCGATATCAAATCTTGATTTTGTTTCTCTTGTTCTTTGCTGGGAAACTAATCCAAAAGGAGCGCAAAAAACTGGGTTTTCTACCTAACAAGGGAGGTCTTTCGGCTTTTTGGAAACGGTTTAGTACATATTGTAGGGACGCATGTATGGACCACAAAACCATGTTTCGTTTTCGCTGAACGGTTTTAGTAGTACCAAAAAAGTGGTGAATAATACTCTTGATGGTTCGATCCCCCGCGGCGACTAAATTTTTGCAATCAAGGTTGGCGGCCACTTGTTGGCTTCAAAATGGTCCTGACGATGAATTGACATCTGATTTTGATATTTAGCGCGATTTGGCACCAAACCGTAGGCGCCAACCCAAATGCAAAATTTAGTCGCCACGGGGATCGAACCCTTAACAGTACCTTATGCTTCTTTTTACTGCTAAACCGTTCAGCGAAAATGAAACATGGTTTTGCGTTCCCTACATGCGTCCCTACAATATGCACAAAACCGTTTTGAAAAAGCGCACCTTGCCCTGAAAGACCTCCCTTGTAAGATAGTCAAATGAGATCTCTTCCTCCGTCCCACCCAATCGCTTTTCGCTTTGTAGCCTTACTATTTGTAGAGGTAATATACTTGTTTTGCTCCCCTTCTTGTTCTCCGTGTTGTCACAAGAAATATTCCCTAATGGTTTCCATTTTTACTCGTGATCCAAAGCGCACCTCTTAGTTCCGATACTAGTGAAACTTTCATCATTGTTGGGTGTAGCCGGTTTGTATAAGGTGGCATCGCTTACCACACTGGTCCGTAGGCTAAACCATGGACTGATGTGCTAGATCAGTCGAACCATTTATCCGCCGAGGTTAGCTAAGCCGAGTATCGCAACTTTGGTAAGGTAAAGACCTGTCTGCAAACAAGCTTAGTAAATACAAACCATATTTCTTGGTAGACATGTTTCCAGGCAAGATGTGGTGGTCGCCGCACTCAAAGCCCAGCAGACGTCGTGTCGAAGAATCCATTTAGTGGGTGATATAGAGTAGCCCACGAGTATCACAGATGTGCCGTTGTTGCGGCTCGAAAGTGCGCGACAATGGCGCTAGGGTTTACAAAGTGACTTTGGCGACTAATCTTAACTTGGACGAGATACCTCGTGCACACCCCATGATACGCAGCGTGGATTACGCGTAGCGGCTAATTCGAAATACACGCGGGTTAGTGGAACCATGGAGCAAGAAAGTTCGAACAACTCATCCAGCCCGTCACTTCCTTTTCAAGAAGGAAGAGTGGGAATACTTCGTAATGTCTTCATCAATGGTTCTATTCGTTTCTTTCTCTATTTTAAAGGACGGAATTCACGCGGAAAGGCAACC